CTGCAGGAATGCTGGAAATGAGCGTCTGTTTGTTTTATAACTTTTTCCCCGGAAGTAGATGGAGGGGTAAGCGGTAGACGCTGCTGGAAGGAGGGAGGGGCAGGAAGCCTGGGAAGATGACGTCCCTGCAGCACTGACCTCAGCACCTCCTCTTTCTCCTGTCCCCTCTCTTCCCCAACAGGGAATCACCACCTATTTCTCTGGGAATTGTACCATGGAAGATGCCAAATTGGCCCAGGACTTTCTGGACTCACAGGTTTGGGGTTAGGGGAGCTCAAGGTAGCAGAGGTTTGGTGGAGTTCCTAGTCCCAGCCCCCTCACAACTGGTGACCACTCCTGGGTCTCTGCTTGACTACTCCCTGCTAACTAGGGAAGGTACCACCCCTGCCCACCCCAGGCTACAGAGCCTAATGACAGCCTCAGGGCTGGGTGAGGAACCAGGACCTCAGGCCACAGGGGTGTGAGGCTCTGGGGTCCACGTGTCAGTGGAGCTCCCAGCTTAGCCACTCACCAGCCATGTGATCAGTTTCCATGTCTGTGAAGTGGTACCCACCTCCAGTAGCCCTGGGTTCGCAGAGGCCATGCAGTGCCTGGCATAGTGGTTGGAGTCAGTGCTTAGTAGAAGTGCACAGTGTCCCGAGCAGAGCAGGAGAGTCGGCCCTGGGCTGCCCACTCCCACTTTCTCCCGCTCCTCCCAGCCAACCTGGAAGGCCTAGCCTGCTTTGCCTCCATGCCTTCTCCCCGGGGGGTGACCCATTTTCCTTCCTCCCACCCCACTGGCCTCTCCAGACCTCACTCTCAACCCCTGCCCTGGTCTCTTCTAGAACCTCAGTGCCTATAACACCCGGCTCTTCAAAGAGGTCGATGGAGAAGGGAAGCCCCACTACGAGGTGCGGCTGGCTTCTGTGCTTGGCTCAGGTGAGCTTAGCCCCAGGCTTCCCTTCTGCTCCCTCCCAGGCATTTCTGGACCTGGGTGGCTCAGGTCCTGCCAGCCCTGCCACTCCCACACAAAGAGGATCCTTCTCTCCCAGGAGTTTCTACATAAGGCCTGGGAATGGCTCTAGTTTCTCTGTATCAGTCCCCTATTTGTCTGTGAACCTATCCCTGAGGGCTGGCAAGGGACAGGTCTCTGATTGGCTCAACCTGGTCTCAAGCCTACCCTGGAGTCAGGCGATGAGGTTGGCCCTTTAGGCCAGGCGTGGCAGCTCACACCTGTAATCCCAGCACTTTGGGAGGCTGAGGCAGGTGAATCACCTAAGGTTGGGAGTTTGAGACCAGCCTGGCCAACATGGTGAAACACCGTCTCTACTAAAAATATAGAAATTAGCCAGGCATGGTGGCATGTGCCTGTAATTCCAGCTACTTGGGAGTCTGAGGCAGGAGAATCGCTTAAACCCAGGAGGCAGAGGTTGCAATGAACTAAGATCTCACCACTGCACTCCAGCCTGGGTGACAGAGCAAAGCTCCAGGTCAAAAAAAAAAAAAAAAAAAGAGGCTGGCCCTTTCCAAACCAACTGCACTTGGGGTAGTAGTAGTGGGACCTGGGGTGATATTCTCAAGGGGAAATTGGGATCCATTCCCAGGAGAGAGGAAATAGTGTGGACAGAAGTGTCCAGGCCTTTATGAAGACTTTCGCCACCTGGCTCTTTTTTCCCCACCTGCACCCCAGCCCCTGCTACATCTCCATATCCTCCCACTCAGACTCTGTGCTCTGGCCATGCTCAACAGCATCCAGTTCTCACGGACCCTCTTTAGGTCTTTTGTTTTTGTTTTTGTTTTTGTTTTTTGAGACAGAGTCTCGCTGTATCGCCCAGGCTGGAGTGCCCAGGCTAGAGTGCAGTGGTGCGACCTTGGTTCACTGCAACCTCTGCCTCCTGGGTTCAAGCGATTCTCCTGCCTCAGCCTCCAGAGTAGCTGGGATTGCAGGCGCCCATCACCACACCTGGCTAATTTTTGTATTTTTAGTAGAGACGAGGTTTCGCCATTTGGTCATGCTGGTCCTAAACTCCTGACCTCAGGTGATCCGCCTGCCTCTCGGCCTCCCAATGTGCTGGATTATAGGCATGAGCCACCGCGCCTGGCCCCTGTCCAGGTCTTTGCACAATCTATTCCCCACTTCCCATGCGGAACCCCCTCCATCCTCTCTTTGTCCCCTGGCCACCTCCTCCCCATGCTCTAGGCCATGCATGGACATTGCCTTCCCCAGGACCTTTCCCCATCTTCCCATAACTAAGTCCATGCCCTTCTCTCTTCCCATTGGCACACTCAGTAGCTCTGACTACAAGCTCCGCGAGAGAAGGGCCTGTGTGTTTCATCCACTGTTGTCTCCCCGGTGCCCAGCGCTTGGTGGATCTGAGCTTCCAC